GTGTTTATATAAACCGGAGGGTTTTAGTCCGTAGGACAACTTCATCATACAACAATCATACCATAGGCTAGCTTTTAGGGTTTAGCCTCCTTGATCTTGTGGTAGATCTACTCTTGTACTACCCATATCATCAATATTAATCAAGCAGGACGTAGGGTTTTACCTCCATCAAGAGGGCCCGAACCTGGGTAAAACATCGTGTTCCTTGCCTCCTGTTACCATCCGGCCTAGACGCACAGTTCGGGACCCCCTACCCGAGATCCGCCGGTTTTGACACTGACACTTAGTCTTGATCAACCTCTCACAAGACCAATCTTTAGGTAATTCCTTGAATAGCACCTTGGTCGACACAAACTCCCCTTGAAACCAACACATGTACTCCAAGAAAAGCCTATGGGCAAAACCTTCAAATATAACTCAAGGCAACCATTAGTCCATAGAGATTGTCATCAATTACCAAAACCAAACATGGGAGCACCACATGTTCTTTCACCATTGCACACGGCAGAGGACGAGATCGTGATACGTCTCCAACGTATATATAATTTTTGATTGTTCCATGCTATTATATTATCAACCTTGGATGTTTTATATGCTATTTTATATGATTTTTGGGACTAACCTATTAACCAAGAGCCCAATGCCAGTTTCTGTTTTTCTTGTTTTAGAGTACCGCAGAAAAGGAAAATCAAACGGAGTCCAATTGACCTGAAACTTCACAGAACTTATTTTTCGACCAGAAGAAGCTCACGGAGTATCAGAGATGGACCAGAAGAGTCTCGGGCTGCCCACAAGGGTGGGGGCACGCCCACCCCCCTGGGCGCGCCCCACTGCCTCGTGGACAACCCGGAGATCCACGGACGTACTTCTTTCTCCTATATATATCCATATACCCTAAAAACTTTGGGGAGCATAATAGATTGGGAGTTCCGCCGCCAGAAGCCTTTGTAGCCACCGAAAACCAATCTAGACCCGTTCTGGCACCCTGCCGGAGGGGGTGGGGAATCCCTCTCCGGTGGCCATCTTCATCATCCCGGCGCTCTCCATGACGAGGAGGGAGTAGTCCACCCTCGGGGCTGAGGGTATGTACCAGTAGCTATGTGTTTGATCTCTCTCTCGTGTTCTTGAGGTGGTACGATCTTGATGTATCGCGAGCTTTGCTATTGTAGTTGGATCTTATGATGTTTCTCCCCCTCTACTCTCTTGTAATGGATTGAGTTTTCCCTTTGAAGTTATCTTATCGGATTAAGTCTTTAAGGATTTGAGAACACTTGATGCGTGTCTTGCACTTGCTTATCTGTGGTGACAATGGATATCATGTGATCCACTTGATGTATGTTTTGGTGATCAACTTGCGAGTTCCGTGACCTCGTGAACTTATGCATAGGGGTTGGCACACGTTTTCGTCTTGACTCTCCGGTAGAAACTTTGAGGCACTCTTTGAAGTTCTTTGTGTTGGTTAAATAGATGAATCTGAGATTGTGTGATACATATCGTATAATTATACCCACGGATACTTGAGGTGACATTGGATTATCTAGGTGACATTAGGATTTTGGTTGATTTGTGTCTTAAGATGTTATTCTAATACGAACTCTATGATAGATCGAACGGAAAGAATAGCTTCATATTATTTTACTACAGACTCTTGAATAGATCGATCAGAAATGATAACTTTGAGGTGGTTTCGTACCCTACCATAATTTCTTTGTTTGTTCTTCGCTATTAATGACTTTGGAGTGACTCTTTGTTGCATGATGAGGGATAGTTATATGATTCAATTATGTTATTATTGTTGAGAGAACTTGCATTAGTGAAATTATGAACCCTAGGCCTTGTTTCAACGCATTGCAATACCGTTTAAGCTCACTTTTATCATTAGTTACCTTGCTGTTTTTATATTTTCAAATTACAAAAACCATTATCTACTATCCATATTGCACTTGTATCACCATCTCTTCGCTGAACTAGTGTACATATACAATTTACCATTGTATTGGGTGTGTTGGGGACACAAGAGACTCTTTGTTATTTGGTTGCAGGGTTGCTTGAGAGAGACCATCTTCATCCCACGCCTCCCACGGATTGATAAACCTTAGGTCATCCACTTGAGGAAAATTTGTTACTGTCCTACAAGCCTCTGCACTTGGAGACCCAACAACATCTACAAGAAGAAGGGTGTGTAGTAGACATCAGATCACAAGTCTTGCTTCCTCTTGCTCAACATGTTGATTGATTCGTTCACTCGATGTTGGTCTACACATTATGTAGACCGCGTGAGCTGCCGTGGTGTACCACTTGACAGAGGGACGGCCGCTTACGTATACACATTGTCGGATGAAGCTGAAGAGGGAATATGTGTTGGAGGGCCTGATCCGTTGATAAAAACTTGTTGGACATCTGGTTAATCTAGTCAAATTTAAAACATTGTTGTACTAGACTTAATTTGCATATGTATGAATGATTTGTGTTATTTTCTATCTTTTTTATGAATATCAACCGGTTTGCATGAATTTCGTCTGATTAGTTCAATGAGGGTTGAAATGCATGCGACTATGGTAAGATGGCGGCCTCCCACATCCGTGTCCGCGGACGAATGCGGAGAAAATTTGCGAGTTGCCATTGGAGATGCCCTTAACCCCATAAAATGCAAGTCATGGACACAACCATTTTACACCCGGGCTGAGATGGGTTTAAGTGTGAACAGTAAAATCATTTTAAATAGCAAAAAATTCAAAAAAAATGTGGTGCCTGATATTCATGTGCGTGGTGCCCGTGCAAAATTAGGTGAAGTTTGACATTGAAGGAGGTTGTGGCAAAAAAGATAAAATCCAATCGAATGTCCAAACTTCCCAAAAATTTGCCTGAACATCACACATCTGCTCATCTTCCATCATTTTCTTTTGAATTTTCCTGCTATTTTTTCATTTTACTGTTTGGGTGTAGATGAGTCGGGACACCGAATTGAATTATCAAATCACCTAGTTTTTTTTTTGAGAAATATCAAAACATTTAGGTTTTTTTTGAGACACATCAAATCATTTAGGTGAAGCACCTAGCCAGTAGAAATGGTCAATTCCAGCCTTCCAGGCCCGTTGGGTTCATGTGTCTCTCAGGCCAGCTACATACCAGTGGACCGGGCCGGTAAACAGCACCCAAGGTATGGGCAGTTACACTCGTCGTCGTTGTCTAAAAAAAAAAAACTACACTCGTCGTCGACCTGTTCGTCTTCGATCCCCTCCGACGAGCCTCCCGGAACAACCGCAAACACAACGGCGGCCGGCCCCATCCCTCCCTCCGCCTCCTCATCTCTCCCCAGGCAACACTTATAAGCAAATAGTTCTCGCCAGATTCCTGCGCCGATGCCTTCTCTTGGCGCGGAGGCGGCGAGGGTGCAGATCGATTGCCGGCGACCGGAGACGGAGGATGAGGATATGGAGCTAGCGCGCGCAGGCGGCGAACGGGATAATTTCCCATCCTTCCATCGCCGTGGGGGAGATGCGCTCGCGGCGGTGTGAGGCGCCGGCGTCCACACGGGTAAGAGGAACTGTGCAGTCTGCAGTACATTGCATCTCTTTAGTCCCACATCGGTAGTTGAGTGCGATTTTCACGGATTTATAACTATAGGCTTCAGCAGGAGTGTCATCAATTTTTATTTTTTTTGAAACTGTGTCAACAAGTTTCTGGTACAGGGATAGTGGTATATAGTTGTAGGAATAAAAAAATTGCTCCATTAATACAGCCAGGTTTTTGCCACCGACGATTGATTGAAAAGTGGTGTTTTTCCAATGGAAATGTGCATATGAGCAATGTACTTCAAATAACTATAGAATCGTCCTAAATCAACTATGTGGCATGGCCGCTATTTTCAGGAGTACTAGTTCCCATTTTCAGTACGGTGTTGTTGCCGCTGGCCTCCTGACCTATAGTTCCAAATTTCCAATATGTTATTTCAAGCTGCTACATGTCATGGTGACATAGTCTCATATGCTATTTTCAGGAGCACTAGTTCATTTCTAGTTCCTTATACAAGATTCAGATAAACTAAAATCTTGAAATGTTCTCCGGATATAACTCATAAGATGTAAAGACCTTGAAATCACCTTTTGTTTTTTCATCTTTTGCATTGCCCAGTAATCAGGATGTTAGAGTAGAGGAAAAGGTGAACTCAACTTAAAGTATATTTTCATGTTTGAAGCATAGTGATAAGACATTTCTGGTAAAAAACCGGGCTGCAATTTTCATGCTTGGCGTGTAACATGCTGAAACTTCATGTCTTTTTTTGTCAATATGGAGCACCACAGGTAGTTAGTGCTTGTGTTTTGCTCATGCTCCTGGTAAATCCTTTTTGGCCAGGATTCAGGAAGATTCTGTGTTCAGTTATGCTCACTGGTAATTTTCATTTATGTATCTGCAATATTTCGGGGCTGCTAGTTTCTGCTCATTTCTGTTTTTGTGCTCTTAAATAGTATATGGCTCCCTTTCTGTCCTGCTTAGTTTGTAAAACATAAATATAGATGTGCTGTGCATTGTTAAAGGTTTCTTTTTCTAGTGTATTGCTTTCAAGAAGTATTGGCACAAATATATTTCAGTGCTGTAAAAAAAATGTTTATTTCCTGTGATGATTGTTCCATAGCACCAGTTTCTGTCAAATCGTCCTCCCAGTCCTGAAGTAGATCACGCAACTTCATGAGAGCTACCAGTATGTAGCAATAGCATCCTCTCAACTCTTGAAAGTGCGACGCAAGTCTTGCTAGTTGTACTAATAGCAGAATATTGTGTCAAAGTCCGCATTTTACTCATGGCTAATTTATTGAATTCATACCAACACGATTTATAGAGGCTGGGTGTGAGCTCTTAAGGTTGTATAGACTCGATGCGGCATTAATAGTCAATACAAATTATCTTTATTAAAAAATACCGACTCGATTTATACAAACTCGATGGGACATTGCAAATCGCATGAGTTAATCGTGACAAGTGCAATCTCACTTGCCAAATCACTCTAGTGTGGCATAGCTTGCTCTGGTTTGTTTGCTCCAACATATATATGATGTTCTGGCTGCCTGCAATTTCATGGCTACTTCTCTCATGTTCATTCGTTCTCTTGGGAACAGACGGGTACAAGACAGAGCTACTTGCACAAGGGACACCAAGCACTGATATACCACGTTTCCTGCTTCCGCTGTTGCACGAATGAATCCCTTGCACTCTTCTTGGAGATGATCATCAATGATATGCAGTATCTGATCTGGAGAGTTCCTCTCTGCGAAATTGACAATGTTGAGTTCATTGTCAAAAATAGGGTCTGTTGGTCTCTTATCTATCAGCATCTCTAGAAGAACAACTCCAAAACTGTAAACGTCCCCATAAGTTGATGCTTGGCCAGTTTGAGCATACTCTGAAAACATATAAAATGAAACTGATTAGTGCCATATAAATCTAAAAAGCCAATGTTCAGACATTAAGCCTCACACAAATATATGATGTGGAGATGAATACCTGGAGCAATATATCCTATAGTTCCCTTCAATCCAATTGAGCCATCTGAAGTTGAGGCTGAACTTGAATGCCCAACTGATGTTGACTTTGAATTACGGACGAGGTTTGCAATGCCAAAGTCACCCAAATATGCATTCATATCAGTGTCCAGGAGGATATTGCTGGGTTTCAAATCGCAATGGACAATGGATCTTGTGATATCATGGTGCAGGTAGGCCAATGCATCAGCGATATTAACAGTGATGCTTATTCTTTGCCCTAAGCTCAAAATCCTTGGACCTTCGCCAGCAGATTTTGTGTGTAACCATGTGTCCAAATTCCCGTTTGGCATGAACTCATAAATTAGAGCTTTGAAAGTGTTACCATCATTATCTATTGTTGAGCATGCTGTTAAGATAGAAACAAGATTTCGATGTCGAATACTTCTCAAAACCTCACATTCTGAAATGAAACTTTTGTCTGCGTATCTCACATCGAGGTCAAAAACTTTAATAGACACTTGTATTTTTGCTTGAGTTAACTTTCCTCTATATACTGAACCGTAGCTTCCTCTCCCAACCAGGTTTGACTCAGAAAAGCTCTGTGTAGCTTGAGCTAGATCCCTGTAGGTAACTCTAGGAAAATGCTTGCCAAAAGAAAGCAACAGTAAGTATGTTCTTCTTGGCGTCTTGCTCTCCAGGAGTACAAAGTAAGCGAATAATACGAGTGATGTGAAGCCAACCAAAGGGATACATACTCTGACCAAGTAGTACAGTCTTCCTTTTCTCTGAGAAATAGCAGAGCAAGTGGGCATACGAAGATCCACTGCTCCACCACAAAGTCCCGAATTCCCATCGAGAGAAACAGCCGTGACATTTTCAAATACCCCATTTCTTGGTACTTCTCCATGAATATGGTTGTAAGAGAGGTCTAGCTGGTTCAGATATTTCAGGTCACTTATTGATGTCGGAATGGATCCAGACAAACTGTTATGTGAAAAGTTGAGCACCACCAAGCTCTTCAGATTGCTCAAAGACTCCGGAATATCCCCTGTGAGAATATTCTGGTCCATTTGGAGGATCTGCAGCTCTTGACACTCACCTAAAGCACTAGGAATTTCCCCAGAAAGTTTGTTGGATGAAAGATACAGCTCAACTAGCTGCCTAAGATTACTGAACTCTGTAGGTATTGTTCCTTGTAAGTTATTGTAGGATAATGCACATATGGTCAGTGTGGAGCCAGTGTGGAAGATCTCCCTAGGAATGTTACCCTGTAGATTGTTATAACTAAGGTTCAACCTTGTGAGCATGGTGAAGTTTCACATACTGGAGGGTATCGGACCTTCAAACTCATTGCTTGCTAGATAGATCTTTATCAATTTAGTAAGATTACCGATAGAGTTTGGTATTGGGCCAGTGAAGTTATTCTCATCAAGAACTAAAATTGCTAGATTTTTCAGCTTTCCAACCCATCCTTCAATGGAACCGCTGAGCTTGTTTCTACGCAAGTTTAGTAATGTTAAGCCACTAAGATTCCCCATGTTAGTGGGTATTGTCCCTGACAAGTCGTTTCTATCTAATGTTAGTATTTGAAGTTTGCTTGACAGGTTGCTAACAGAATTTGGTATAGCTCCTTGTAACTGATTTTGACCTACTGCAAGAACTTGCAGAGATGTGCAATTGCTCAATGCATCTATGAATTCCCAGCTTTGAATATCCTTTGCTTCAAGTTTATTATTCTGAAGGTTTAGATCGTTCAACATTCCAAGCCTACCAAGAGAACTTGGAACTTGAGCTGTCAATTTGTTGAATGATAGGTCCAATGTTGATAGCCCTGAAATATTACCTAGCGAAGCTGGGATGTGACCTTCAAATTTGTTATAGTCCAATGTGAGCCATGCGAGCCTCGGGAGGGTATCACCAAAATTAGGTGGCAATGTGTTCCCTATCATATTGGTACTTAAGTCTAAAATTTGCAGATAAGATTGATTAAGCAAGGTTGTTGGGATACTACCTGATAGGGTATTACCACCAAGTAATAAAACTGCCAGATTCGGAAATTGCCCTATCTCATTAGGAATGCTACCCATGAGTTGATTATCTGCAAGATCGATTACTTCTAACTGGCTGATGTTTTTCAGGCTTGGTGGGATCGTTCCGGTGAGATTATTTTCGGCAATCTGTAATTCTGATAATTTGGAAAGCAAGCCTATATTAAGGGGAATTTCACCTATCAGGGAGTTACCAGATAGATATAAGGAATTTAGGTTGGAACTATTTGTAAGTGTGGCTGGAATGATCCCTTGCAAAGAGTTTTCACTCAGCCAAAGTTTTTGCAGTCTATGGAGACTGTTGAGTGGAGGTAACTCGCCAGTGAAGCTATTTGTGGATAGGTCCAGTGTCTCAAGGAACGTCAGGTTCCCAAGGGATGGGGAAATCGGACCTGACAACCCTTGCTCGGCAAGGTTCAGCTCCGTGATGCGACCTGGGTGTGTGAGGCTGCAGTTGACCCCCTCCCACTTGCAATGCGGAATGCTGGCGTTCCAAGAGCCCAAGACTTGCCTTGGATCGTTGGTGATGGCCCGCTTGAAATATAGCAATGAGAGCATGTCCGTGCTGTTACCGGGGACTGTTGAGCAGGTGGCAGTGCCAACTCCATCAGAAATGACCAGCCGGGCCAGTATCAGGATCATGGTGCGTCTCGCCGGTTGATTGGCATACATGAGCCCCCCGTTACCTGCAAAGCATGAAGAAATGAGCACTGTGGGTAGTATGTTCACCTATGGAGTTGGACTGTGTGACCCTTCTCTGATTAACAATCACAAAATTACTATCTAATAGTGGAAAAAAAGGTTGAGAACTCATGTGGACAGAGGTTGAACTCATGCTGATAACCATTCCAGTTTTTAGTGCACAGGGGTTAAACTGTCCGAAATGTTTAACGCCTGACGGCCTCACCCACAGCAATTGAGACAAAGTCGACAGCAATTAGGAGGAGGAGGGAGTGGGGAACCTTTGCTACGCCGGATCGCACAGAACGGCAGCCTTTGTTGTAGCTGTTGCATGGTTATGCTGTGGTGTGTGAGCTGGGAATAAAGCGTGGGCTGGAACGCTGGAGGCTCAGTTCGGCTGGAACGCTGGAGGCTCAGCTCGGCTGGCTGAGGTCCCAGGGGTTTTAAAAGCGCTTTCACAGCGCCATCGCGTCCACACACTTGCATCTGGTCAGAAATCCTCATGTCTTATCTTAAGCTTGACTGGCTATGGAGCTGAGGACCTGTATCCAGTCCGTCAACCTTGTCAGCTACTCCCTCCGTTTTTAACACTACGCTAGTGTTAAAAACGCTCTTATATTATGGGACAGAGAGAGTAGTTACCGTTCCAGTTTTTATCTTCGTGCCCACCGCTGCTGTCGCTGTGTGAGCTGGACAGGATCGTTGCGGCATGCCCAGCCCCGAATCCAAGAGTTCTACTCGATACTTTTCAGCAGGAACTGGATAGAGAGTGATCTCCGCGTCGTTCAGTATACGACCTGACATGGAACGGTTCACTGGTCTAACATTCTCTTCTTCAATATTGTGATTTTTTTTTCCAGTATGAGTTCTAGTGTTGTTCGGATGGAGACCTCATAAATTAATTAGCTTGGAACCATCATTTTGTATGTAACGGCAATGTGCTTTCGTTCAGCTACAACGATTGGCCTGACTGCAGATCGTAGGAGCTGTCAAATCACAAATTCAATAACGATGCCCGGACAATTGAGTCGTCCTCATTTCCCATGGTTGAGTTTGGTTTGGTGAAAATATTTTTGCTGAAATGATGCACTAGAGTCATGTCTACTGCTCTGACCAAATATTCTGTTTTTCGTAAGCGGTTCTCCAGCAAACACTCAAAGCTCCCATGTTTCCACAAGCATGAAACATGAAGCCTCTTAATACATGATGTATATTTCCAGTTCTAATTCCAGGTATATTTGTTGCACTTGCCCTGTGCTTTTATGTCTCGAGAGGGATTAAGGCCTGTTACGTCAACTTTGCATTTGGGATATACTATGGGCTCAAGTGTTTAACAGTAACAATGGCGGTGATGAACTGGTTTCAAGCTGCACAGTTGGTTCTGTTACATTTTCTCTCCTGTTAACCCTCTTTTCGTTTTCTCTCCTGTTTCTCATAGCAGCCTGCTCTTTTACACATGGTTATTGGCGTGACTGATTTGTCGATGTTCTTCACTATTTGTGGAATGGATAAGTGATGCTCTCTGACCAGCCTCCAACACTGTCCTTCACTTCTGATTTTATCTCGCGGAATACCATAACTGGATAGTGTGAACAGTGAATGCACACACAGTGATCGCATACCTGTCGTTGCTGTGATTAGGGATGCAAATTAGGAACCTTCAGGGTACCCTCCGACCCTACTTAGTTCAACCAAATGAACTAAACTTTCAAAAATGAAGTAAATTATGAAATTTTAGTTCATTTAGTTGAACTAAAGAGGGTCGGAGGGTACCCTCAAGGTTTCAAATTTGCATGCCTAGACGTGATCGGTCGTTGCTTGCGTTTTCCATGGGCCATTGTAAATCTAAGTTGCTGTGATGTACCTTCAATTATTTCCTGGATTATGTAAAAAATTCAAGTGTGGTAAGTGGCATGTTTTTCATTTTCAATGGAAATGGAGCTGGGGCAGGAGGAGCCCCTTTCCTCTAAGTGGCATACTTCATGAGATGAGGTGCTGCCTGCTCATATGTGTTTTGGAGCTGCCAGAATGATTGGATGCTAGCTATGAGATCAATGCTTGTTTTCAGAGACGCCGAGAAAGATGCGAAGGGCATACTTTTTATGATTGTGTCAATTCCAGTTCCTACCATCTCAAATTTAGGACATGATCAACATTCAAAATGTCTTGAGATTTTTTTTGTAAGGTAATCTTGAGATTTTAGTTTGCAATGAGCTCCGTGGTGGAGTACTAAGGTGTGATGCATAGCCCATGATCGTTGCACCTAAAGGGCTTATTCGTGTTGGGCCTTCTTCCCTTAATTGTGTGGGCCACATGAACACAACGTTCTAAAACTTACCATATGTGCTCAAGAATTCCCCTAAAAAATGTGCTCAAGAATGCAAGAGGTGCCAACCAACTTGTGGTTAGATTGTTAGGAGGACAGTGGTATCCCCAGCCCACCAGGGTTCAAGTCCTGGTGCTCGCATTTAACCTGGATTTATTTCAGGATTTTCAGCGATGCGCGTTCAATGGGAGAAGACGTTCCAGTCGACTATGAGTCACCTACGGTGAATTCGTAAAATCTCAAGATGATATGCCGGTTGAGTCTCTCATAGGTGCTAATAGGAGTAGAGTGTGCGTGTGTGTATTCATGGGAGTGAGTATTCATGGGAGTGAGCGTATGCGTGTATACATGAGTGTTTGTGTCAAAATTTATGAAAG